ATGAAACTTTGTGTATTTTACACAGAAAATTAAAACTGCATCAAAGAAACATCTGACTTCACCATTCATGCCTCTTAATAGGAGCATCCTTGAACTGGTTCAGTGCCTAGGTCATAAAGAGTAATTATAGTAACCTATTAGAAAGAAAATAGACTGTATGAAGAGTAGGAATGGGAAATATATTATGTTAACACAACATAGTAAAAATAAAATGATCAGTATGAAAAAGAAAAAAAAAAATTGGCTTAGATTTCACTCCCCAAGGCTGGCTGCACTGTTTCCTGTAGCTTGACTATTCATGAGTTTTCTGGTCATTCCCAATTCATTACTGTCCATGCTTGTCTCATCCCTGTTATGGTCATTACGTTTATTTTTATAGCTGCTTTTATCCAAAGCATATGTCGTCAATGGCCTTCTTTCCTTATCTTCACTGATTTCAATTGCATAATGTAGCATGGTACCTGGCAATTCTAAAGCAAATGTATCTTGGATGATGGATTACAAATGAAAAATGAATGCTTTGGGACATCTTAATAGTTTATCTCCACCCATGCTTCCTGCCAACGTGTGCCTGCGTGTCTCATACATGTATCCAAATAGATCAAAACATCAGTCAGTATATTCACTAAATTCATTTTTTCTTTTAAAGCTGATAGCAAGGAAATTGTCAAAAATGCTGAAGGTTCTTTACTGAACAGCAAAACTTAAGCGGCAATGATCGAAAGCTGCCTTACATATACCAGAAGGTATTTGATTTTAATCAGTCAGGAAGGAAGTGGTAAAACAAACGAATATACTCTGATCTTCAAAAAGAGGTTCTCCAGGGAAAGGGGAGGGTGTTCTGCTTCTTAAAGGTTAACAGCCTCATAGTGCCCTTTTTGGTAACCGGACCCCTGATGTGTGAGTAGTTTCCTTCCTTCCTTCCACACAGAAGAATAAAGTTGTGCTTCTGCAGCTTTGAAGTCACTGGAAGTTTTGTTGTTGAATTTAATGCGGGAAGGACTTTGGTAGTCACTTGTGCTCAGTGAGGGAATAAGCACTGCAAGCACCGCTGTCCTGGTATCACTAATACACAAATACCACGAACAGAAAAGAGAAAACTAATCCCCTTCCTGGCCACAGGAACATGCAAATTGATCCATGGAGGAAGAGCGAGACCGTCTTCAGCAGCAGCCAAAGCAGAGCCTGCCGTGCAGTGACACACCAGCCAACTGTCTGAGCACAGCCCTCTGTGCCAGCTGTTTCGTGGGTTACGATGATGCAGCAAGCACCATGACCTACCATGTCACCCAGATCCTCTCCCACAGCATGTTTCAAAGTGCCTGCCAGGCAAATTTCTTAAACTTATGGTGACCTGAGAGTTGACAAGGACCTCAGGAAGTCACTTGTGATGTCCTTATAACCGGTCTGTACTCCAGCACTACCAGGCTAAAATCTAGGGCATCACTGACAGGTTATTTACTCCATATATAGGTGTATGAATTTGGGCTTGAGCCATTTCGCATTAACATTTGTGATGATGAATTACAGGCTTAACTGATCAGCTCTGATTTGCCTCTGATGCACTCATCCTCTGAAAGTCAGTGTAAGGAACTAAAAGAAGACATTTTCGCAAGGGCTCCTTTTGCAAGGAAAGCTGCTGCTTTCCTCTTCACTGTATTCACATCTAATACTGGTGCTGCAATGCACAGTCCTGGAGAAGGGTATTGGCTCAAAGTCTTTATTTCCTGAGTGATTTAAAAAAATTGGACCAATATGAACACAGGGTGTTTGTGCTTCGTGCTCTACAAGATTAATGTGTATATGAGCAAACGCGCTTCCTTGAAATGCTCATCAGCAGCTGATGGTTTCTTTTCTGTTCCAACTGTTTGCTTCCATGACCTGTGTACTGTAATACATACAGAGGTTTTTTAAACCCTGCTCTGGAATTCCTGGGATCATAATAAATGGATTAAATGAAAAGTCTTGTTTTCTCTCTGTTCATTTAAGGAATCTGTCTTTTGATTTGATATTGATCACTTTTTATTTTGTATTGAGAGATTTAGACATAAGGAAAAATGAAGAGACAGTTAAAATGAGACTTGGAACTCCATTCTGAGCTTTGTCAGCCCTGGACCTGTCCCATGATGTTGGGCAACACCTTGCTAAATTTTCATGAAATGTTAGGTTTGAAGGAATCCTTGTGAATAATTGGAAACTGATTTCATGATACTTTGATACTGAGCACGCAGGTGGTAGCTATTTTAGATTTCAGAGTGCAATCACAATAGATGAAATCTCAAAAGCTCAAGCAAAATAAAGGCTCTACTTTTGTTCCATTCCTTCCAGATTTTCTGGAAGTCATAGATTAGGTTTAGATTATACCACTCTATAACATAAACATGGAAAAGCAAGGGAGTAAAACTCAAGAGCAATTTGCTGCAGGCCTATTTTTTCTTGAGCGAAGCTGAGTGTAAGTTTGGCAGGAAAAGAAAGTTAGATAATAATAAACTAATTTAGAACTCAGATTGTATATTAATTTATCCCTGGTTTGGCATGAACTTGAGGCCAGTTTCAAAAGGTTCCTGCTGCTGGGGTTTCTAGTTGACCGGTAATGTTGCAATGTATCCAGTGTGCTTCCTTGGTCTTATGGCTGTTGTCCAGTCAACCAGCTGGAACCTAATTGCTTTTTTCCCCCAGTTTCCCATGTGACCTTGCTAACAGTGAACGTCTCATTTAAATTTCATTGCAGCAAAGTGACTCAAACATCACCAGTACATTCTTGCTCTTGGATGCACTTTAAATAAAATCAGCGAGGCTCCCCAGATATTACCTCGTATTTCTCTGGGATTCCAAAGCCAGAACATTAAAATAATGAAAGGAAAAATTATGAGAGTCGAACCAACTTCCTGTCTGGAAAGAATAAATCACTGTCTGTGCCTCTTTCTTGTGACTGACCCAGGACTCGGGTCTAAAGAGCAAAGACTCCGAGCACGTTCTCAGGAGAGGCTCAACCAGCTCCTAATCACATGTGGAAGAAGTGGGAGGTATCTTCACCAGGAGCTTGTAACTGAAATGTCTACCCACGGGACTGCAGCAATTTCCCATCTCAGTCTCACTTTCTAATGCCAAGTTCTGGGGAGAGAGCCTAGTCTTCAAGTGCTTCTTGTTGTGATTTGAACATTGCTGATTTGAATGCTCCTTAGTGTTTGATACCTTGGGAAAAGCCTGTTTCCCATCTCCAGACGTTCAGCCTCCCAGCAGTCAGAGTTGAGCTGCTCACTGCTGTCTGTCTCTGGCTGGGTCACTAAGGGTGGTCCTTCACGCTCTGCTTACTCTCTGCTTTAGCTCCCTGTCTGGCTTCTGAGGAGACAGTGTTTTCTCACGTCCTTCCTCGGTTGAGAAGAATACATTTCATCCTTTGTTTTTAGCCATTCCATTCCCAAACACAACAGTAGGGGTTTTATGTTGATTACTGTATTATACTATACCTCGATTAATTTCTAGGTCTCACTCCTCAAAGCTTTCAGGTTTTCTGTTCGTATGCTCCCCTCGTGAAAGATTCATGTTCCTCTGGACCAGTTTGACCATTACAGCACACAATGTTCTGCTCTTCCTGTTTCAAAGCTCTGGTTGTCTTGCTTCTGTGTAAACCGCACCATCTCTCTCTGAATCTGTAGAAGCTTGTTGCCGTGTATTGTTGAACTCTACCCTCTTGATTCTGTAGTATGTTTATGGAGGGGATTCTCATAGCATGGTCTGTTCCCATTGCTGGGGCGGACTACTCTGACTGGATCTAGTTATCATACCCTGTGAGCATGTAAATACTGGGAAGGAACTGGCCTGCTTCTATGAATTGCAAGAATATTTCCTGAGTGTTAGCCTTCAAACTGACACGTCTTTACACTGGTCCATTTTCTGTTTCCTTTCACAGCTGTCTTGAGCTAGCTACTGTTATACTTTCAAAATCTTGTGATCTAGTTCATGCAATACTTTGATCAACTGTTTTGACTGCTAGGCTGTGGAAGAGGTAAGGAACGCCTTAAGGGAGAGTCTGGAAACTTTTCAAGCTGGTCATTTCTCTTGCCTGGATCCAATACAGACATTAAACAGAGATGCTGTGACCTTTCTGCTGCTAAGTCATTGCACTGCAGAGCTCTACAGGGCTGAGCAGCCATTACTCCTCCCCGTGTAACTGAACCAAACCATGCCTGCAGACAATACACAGAGGAGAATTTATTGACTGTCTCTGGAATTAGGCAATTCTGTTAATTGTCTTCATTTTCCGGGACTCTCTCATTCTTTTCCTGAACCATTAGTGGCACAGCTATTTGTGTGCCAGCATGAGCTGCCTGGAAAAGAAAGCTAAAACTGAATAGCAAATGAATCAAAGACAAAGACAGATACCTCTCAAAGATAATTGCATTCAGATATCCTGGGGAGCCCTTACAAATCCCTTTTCGGCTTCCACAGCTCTTTTCCCTCATTGTGGCCTTGGTGTGAGGAACCTCTATTAAGCAACAAGGCATTCCTAAACAATGCCAGCATGAGTCAAAAGACTTCTTTCCTTTTTCATGATTTATCTCCCCAGTGCTCTCTAACCATACCGAACTCTCAGGCAAGGACTTTTTGCATTATTTTTTTGTTTCTAAGTGTCAAAATGATTGGGGTGGCTCTGCCTTTCCCGTCTACAAAGCTCATTAAAGAGCACTTTCCAGCCTGGATGTTAATCCCTGTACCATTACCCACAATGAACATGTGGTCTGAACTTGGACATGTTTTAAGCAAATGCAGTGGAAGTCGATTAATTGTGAGTTGTTGTCTACATAGAGTTCCTAGACAAGAAAGTCACCCAATATTTTTAATACACCAAACTCATGACACTCAGTATACACATTATGTCTTATTTACATATAATTCATCTATACTTACTTGAAGTCTGTGGTATCACAAACACATTCAAAACAATTATATATCTGCTTCAATATCTCTTCGATCAGAAAAAAATAGTAACTTCCATCTACGGGATTTATTGTATCTTTCAAGTGAGGTGGTTCTAGCACAGTTGGGATCCTGCAAAAATACAGTGCTAGAGTATAGTACACATTCTGAAAAAAACCCTGCTCTCTGGGGGTGAACAGTCCTCTGGAAGTTTTGGGATGCCATCCAGCATTTTGAGATTTGGCAAACTGGAGAATACACTTAAAGAGAGACAAAAGAAAAATAGAAATTGAGATAAATAACCTTGGGAAATGATAAGAACAAAATAGACACTGATAAAAAACAAATAGTGGATTCAAACATATCCAAAATAGGTTTGTGGTGTTGGAGATCTTGGTCTGTCATTTGTTGCAGAATTTATCTGACAAAGAGCTAATTAAAAATTTTCAGGTTTCACTCTGTTGCACAAGTTTTATATCCTCAGACTCAGTAAAGCACTGCAAGTATCTACATTTTTAATAGAGTAGAACCAAACCAGTTGTCTAATGCAAAAGAGAGGACACGGTTTTAGCCTAGCCTTAATTTCCCAGGCTGCTTAAAAGCAAATATTCAGATTGCAAGAAGTGCAACTGAAGTTTTATCCTTCTGTGACAGAGAAACCAGCCTCTCTGCAAACATTTTTTGCACTTCTGTTTCTCCCAAAGGAAAGGACATTTTGATATGCAAATAAAATGTGAAATCCATCATTTTAACTTTACTTTCTAACTTTCACTTTGATATCTGCCTGTCTACCTTTAGAAAGCACAAGCAACACCACCACACTATCAAATGGATGCCTACTAGACTGAAGGATAAACCACACTGGAAACTCAGAAAGGTTTTCATTTAACACTTTCTTTTAAACATTTTTTTCCCCTCCCAGGAAGAGATGACTTAGACACATGCTGTCAGGTTTATCTCAAAAATATCAACAATGCCTTCTGTAGATGGCTGACATGACTTTGTGTTTGTAGTGGGGAAAAACACGCAACCATGCAGACTTCTGAAGACTTCAGAAGGAACATGCTTCATTCCCCTTTCTGACCTGTGTGCAATTTTTTTCCTGGCAACAAGGTTTTGGAGTCAAAGCAACTGGGGAAGAATGGAATAGGGGGCTGAGTGTCAAAACATGCATGAGACTTAGAATAAATTGTCTTCCCTGAATTCTCTACTCTGTCTTGGATTTGAATTTTCATTTCCAGTGTCTGAGGCAGTGCTGTTAAGTCTACATGACACTGCTCTGCCTGCAACATGTATCTACGCTGAGGGAGGTGTTCAAAGCAGTGCAACTTCCACAGTGCTGCCACAGAGAAATGAATTCAGAAAAATCAAATGAAGGTAACCTAGTTTTCTCTTGCTTTAGGTCCCATCTTTCAACACATTCTTCCAATTCCATCTCTGACATGTCATGCAATTTAGACTCCTTTCAGAATACACGAGGGATGCAATGAGACTGCAGAGAGTTTCAGTAATAGGTAGTTTCTATTAATAAAAGGGAATCTAATTTATCTGCCCTACTCACTGTCTCTAAACTTGATCCGTGGACTTAGTTCAGTTCAAGAACCACCAGTCATGTGATTAGAAAGCCTCCTAGGCAGTTTCTGAATGTTTTGTGGCTGTTACCAGATACTGGCTCACTAACCCATGTTCCTGGAGCATTTATGATAGTTGAGACGATGGGAAAATAAAAAGATTGCTCGAGAGAGCTTGTTGTTTTTGAGATTCTATTCCTTTTGAACTCTCTCACAAACATTTCTTTGTATTGATCAACTTTTGTTGACTTTTGAGATGGTAAGACTTACAGTTGTCTGTATCTTTCTTGAAACTCACAGGGATTCCTCTTGAGTATAAGCGATTCAAGTGGAGTATGTCTGAAGTCTGATATTCCACTTAGTGTCACAATGTTATTTTCAGCGAGTGATAAGTGCTGAATCTGAGGTATCTTTGGCAGCTGTTTGAGGGATGTAAAGTGGTTTTTACTGACATTTAGTTCTCTGCATCTGTAAAGTACAAAGCGTATGACATCACTGATCACATCCATAATAGTATATACCTGTAAGCCAACACAGGGATGGCTCCTCATGTAGTTGAAGCCTTGGCAACTTAGGGTTTCCAATAAGAGATGCAAGAATTTCATTCCTTGAGACCTGCTTTCACACTGGTTTTACATTTGTGCTGTTTTTGCCTACCCACAGACTGCAAGATCAGGTCCCTACACTTTATACTCCCAGCTTGCTTTATATTGTACAATGGACACATCATTTGGATATATCGTTATTCCTGTTCTCAACATTACAACTTCCCATATACTTAGAGGTACGACAACATAGTATTAATAGATGTATTGTGAAAATATAGTTGTCACGGTCACCCTGGGCTTCTCTGCTTGGCTTATGTTCCACCATGTCTTCATATAGATTCCTTCAGTGTTCAACAACTTTCCTTTTCAGCACAAATACCACTGAACTTGAAAGATTTGTTAATTATTCACCAGGAATAAAGGGGACATCATCTGGCCTCCTCACTGAATATTTTCAACTCAGGGATGACATGAACTCAGAATAGTAATATGCTGATGGATTCTCAATATAGTACCCCCCAAAATATCATATTTTGGCAGTTCTTAAGAGTCCTATCCATCTATTACTTAAGTAAATAATAATTTTGATTCCTATGATATTGCATAAAAATAGAAACAGGACATTTTGTCTACCTTGGCAATCTTATGGCACTTAGGTCTGTCAAAGAATTGTCCACCAACCAAAGCTTTTCCACTCGAATTAATCTTTGGAGAATCCTTTTGAAGTTTTCCACCTGGTAAAGATCACCCAGGTCCTGAAATGAAAGGTTCAACTCCTGGGAAGGGAAAAATAAGAGAAATCACTTTTTTTTTCTTGCTTTCTAATAACTGTATCATTAAACCTTTTCAACGTCAGAATTAGTTAAAAGGTGAATCTATTTTATCATGCTGTTCTTATAACAGTTGGTGGTGCCAATTGTCAAATTCACCTTAGAATCATAGTGAAGCACTGCGTGAATTCTTTGAAAGTAAAGAAGAAAGAAACCATCCCTCAAGTACGCGATTTTTACTGTCCAGCCCCTCCTTCCTCTTTGAGAAGGGATGCCGGTGTGTGTGCTCTGGGTGGAGAAAGCAGAACTAAGTGATCGTGGCTTGTTGGTCTGGCTTCTAAACTCATCTGGAAAAAAAGTGCTATGCAGCAGCCAGATATCAATATTCCCCAGTCTGTTTCATATGTTTATGCATAGGGAGAGGCGTGATCCAGAGTACTGGATCTCAGTGTTAGATGAAGTTACTACCTGGCTTCCTCCTTGACCTTAGGGAGGTTGTAACTTACCACTGATCAGAACCAGCAACAATGTAGTACCTCCAGCCAAAAAGAACTGCTCAGGTTGGTATGAGGAGAGAGTGAAAGACCTGAAACGAAACTCCTCCAGTCTCTAACCATTCATTTATCATCAGTTTTTGAGGAAGGCACCAAGCAGGCAAAGAATGTCACTAGTTCTTACAGGCCCGAGCACAAATAAGGCCCTGTCACAACACAGGAGTTCACTCTTTTGGGTCACAACCCGAATAACAGTATATGCCAGTGTCTCTTTCAGCTTGTAAAAACCTTCTATTTTACAATGTCACGGTGCCAACTGGAGCTTTAAAACTGCTAACTGCAATGAGCAGCCAGTACAATATTATTTGGCTTATTTACTACTACAGTACAAAATGTTAATGAAAAAGTTTTACAGCACAGTTTTCCCAGTTCTCTTGCAGTTTCTTTTGCCACTTCTCTGTGTCAGTTACTTGTTTTCTTTTTTTCAAAGTATGTTCTTCTCCTCTGAAAAATAGCTCCTCTTCTGAGGGCCCTGGTCAGAAAAAAAGATTTACAATAGCGGATGTGGTATGGAATCGGCACTTAGTTACTTGCTGAAAGTTTATATATATGGCTGGGAAGATATCTGAAATGAAGAAATATATATATGTTACAGGTGCTTAGGTTTCCAGGCTTCTAAGATGAAAATTAATGCGAAGATTTTTCTACCATTTCTGGGCTCATAATTCAGCAAGCAATCTAAGGTTGTAGTGACTTGGTACATGTTTAGTAAATGACATTTCTTCTACATCTGAGAAGAAAAGTTTTTTCTAAATGGTTGAGCGTAAGCATCTGAGTTCTAAAATACTGTTTCTATATATTCTTCCACATGTTAGGAGTTTATATAGCGGTCACGTACTTATCCCTTAATTGTCCTGAGGAAGGGATATGTTTGTAACTTCCAGACCACTGACAACAACTGCAACTGAGATCAATAGCCATACTCAAAACCTCATTTGTATTAAGAATGACACACGCTGAAGACTTAAAATGTTAAGGTCTACTGAAATGCTTAGAGCTACGGACATCTTCAAATTCCTAACTAAAGCAAAGACAGCGTGGAATTTTTCCACTGTTTACTCCCAAACATGCAAACACTGGATTTTAAAATTCATCTTTCATTCTCTATTCCTGACTGTGTCTATAGATTGGAATTGGGCCAATTCAGTCTTAAAATAAAATATATGTGTCACTGTTTGCAGGACTGGATTTCACTCTTGGTTTCTTGTTTGGCATATGGCTAACGCATTCTGAACAGTATTTAAATGTTAATGAACTTTTGAAAGAAGTAATTGACACCACATCAACACTAAAAATTTTCAAATTACAGTTCTACCTTTTGTTTCCAATTTTCAAAATCACAAAGCATATTTTCCTAGTGATTAAAAAAAGTAAGCATGTACAATATGGGATGAAAACCTGCCCCTTTTCAAAACAATGGCAAACTCCATGATTTAAACTCATAACATTTAAGGACATACTGTTTGAGTAAATAGAGTTAAGGCTTAAATGTGAATATGTCTTTTTTATCCTTACCTTCTCTCACTCGGGGACAATGAAGCTGATTTCCTCGAACATCATGTTCTTCTATGTCACACCAGCCAAGATACTTGAAGGAATCGGAAGGAAGCTTTAAAAGAATCAGATACGGTTTTTCAGTTTCTGGCATTGTATTTTCTCATATTTCTGGCCTTATTACAGTAGAAATAATATTCATAGATGTTTACAATATCTTCTGCCTTAACACCATCTGGTGAATAGCAAAATGATGTATGGAAGTGAGGCTAGAACGGCATGCGTTTGTGTATGCATATGCATGTAAACACATTTCTGGACCAGCTTACATACAATATATCCTGAAAGCAACTGAGGCACTAAACCTAAATACAAAAAAACCTGCCACAGCAGTCGAGAATATGAGGTTTCTGCCCATTTTGCTTTTCCACTAAAACATGTTATATAACTTTCAGGGCACCAGTCTTCCAGGAGGGAGCAAGGAACAAAGTCTCCAAGTCTGCCTGTAGTGTGTGGCATAGGTGTGATTTGTGTCATGCCCAACGGACACAGCACCATGATTGCCTGCAGTGGGGGAACCTCTCAGTGCAAGGCAGTTTTGGCATTTGCTTGAAATTCCAGCATTTCTTTCACTGGAAACCACGATGGTGGAGCTGAGGGGGGAGGAGAGATGGAGTGCACACCTCTGACTCATCCTCTCCAGTCAGAGCCACATCCAGAAGCTGATAAATGCTGTGGGAATTCACAGTTTAGGTGTAGTTTACCACAGCCCGTTCTGGTTTAGTCCTACAAATTGACTCAAATAGTGGAGAGAGATACTCTTGCAGAATGTCTATATCGTTACCTTTCATTGCACTCCTGGTTATGAAATTTTATAGCAAATGTACCCAGCCTCTTCAGGACTTATTACATTCTTGGCCATTGCATCCAGTTCTGTGCACAGTGCTCAAAGGCTGAGTCAAATCCCTTGCCACTGCCGACACCATATCACACAAACTTATTTATAATCTGACCTACCTTTGAAAGCTAAAAGGAGGCAAAACATAATCAGCTTCAAAGCTGAGGAAGAGATTGCCTTAGTTACTCTTTGTCAGTGTCTCTCTTCTATAAATTTGTAATCAGACTGGTAAGCCAAACACTTACGGGGGAAGGTAGCCCAGAATCACAGTTTTGCCTGATGATTCCTCTGTTTTGTGATAAAACCGGTGGAATAGTGTGTGTATCACTTAGGATGGAGCAGCAGGACGAAAAGGATTTACAGAATTTTTGATTGCTTGTAGTCAGACCTGAGGAACTAGAGAGAATATGTTAAACCAGTAATCGATTCTGTACAGAGAAATGCAAACTATTTTATAATAACAGAAAATAGAGTAGCAATGGGTAGGACTTACCACCAGACAATAGCCACATGATGCTGAGGTCAAACCATAGGTAATCCCCTCTAGTCCCTTAATGGGACTTCTCACCTAAGTACTGTTTACTTGCATGTATGAGGCTTTCATAGATATGTCCAAACATTTGAAAGAGGAACTTACTGGCAGTTTGTTAGAAAAACTCAGTCTTCGAGAAAATGAAGAACTGAACTTGTTCAATAGCATGATATGTCCCCTTCTATCCTGTATAGCCTTGCTTTTATGGATCCAGGTTTTATGAACAGATACCTCAATTGCATATTAATTTTAATCCCTTGAGTATGTTTTAGTAGAATATCAAGGCTCCAGAGAAGAGTTGAACTTTGTTCAATAGAGTCTTGAAGCCATGAGCTTATGTGCTTTGCTAGTTCATTGCCTAGGAACACTTTCAAAAGTACATTTTATATACCCCAAATGATGCAATTTCTCCAATTGTGCTTCAGAGAGATTGAATAATTTGCAGACTGGCAGCTGCAATTTAGAAATTTACCATGGAATACATCAAAAAAAATTTTAATTTTGTAAGTGTGTGCATACAGCGCTATAATTTGACTTTTACTGTACAAGCTCGGTGAGAGCTTGCCAGAAAGCATCAGCTGTCAGTAAGCATCATTAGAACAATTATAGTCAGGAGCAGAAATGGAGAATAAAAATGCAGCTTTAAAATGGTCTAGTGAGGATGGTAATGAAAGTTTCATATTGAGTGTAACAGACAAGCTAAATAGAACATCAGTTAAAACTTACAATTATAGATTATTAGCAAATAATCATGAAGAGACATATACTGTTGACCTTACTAAGATTGTTTTGCCTTTTTTAAACAGCAGCAAACCCCAGTATTACATCTTTCCTGGCTTTTGCCTGAAAGTGCGTACGCAATGCACAGAACAGTACTGACATACGGAACTACTCCTCCCTTCATGCTTTAGGTTGTTTTTATTTTTTTTTTAATGGAATCAAACCAGCCACAATAAACTGTAGGTGACTTCAAGGAAGCTGAGCAAGCTCAGCATTTCTGAAAATAACAGCTATTTACTTAGGCGTTTTTAGAGGTCATCTTGAGGCAAACAGACCATTTTCATGTGTGAGTGCTGCCATGGATCAGCAGGCATTCACATACACAGCAACCCTGTGAAAAGAGGATTTACATTTGGTGAATATTAAAAAAAAAAAGCAAAATTAAAAAAAAAAGAGAGAGAGAGAAAAAAAGTACTGGGAATTCTTGCTTAGCTCTATCTTGGTATTTGGTTCGCTTCTGCTTCTTTGTATGTTAAATCAGGTTGTACCAGAGAAAAATGTAGAAATTCTTTCATATTTAAGAAAAAGATCTGTTATTCTTCTCAGTTTTGGAAGCGATTTCTTAGGATGTATTCAAACGACTATTTATAACAGCAAGACTTTTCAAAACCTACCTTCCTCTCAGCTAGATACTACCTCCTCTGCTGAGACATGAATATACACTCCTAGTCCCTTGAAATGTGGGATAAAACATTTTAGCTGAACCATTTAAGATGATATCTATTCTAATCTTTTGGCAGAAACCCACTCACAAAATTCTGTATTGGTGATAGAAAATAAAACATAAAGTTCCAGAATCAACATGTGATAGATAAGACTTCTCCAATCAGGTGGGTAGTGACATTTCTATTGGGAAGAGTGACAGAAGGAAGCATTTTTCATCTCAAAACTGCCTGAGTTTAATAAGCACCAGCTGGACCCTAACATCATGTCACAGAAGATTTTTCTGAAGGAGCAAGTGCAACACTGCTTTTCTCTCCCTTTGTTTTCCTTCCTATTTTGTGGCAAAATTGATGCGAAAGAAAAGGCAATGAATGAGACAGGATGCAATTCCAAACAATTACAGATCACACAACACATGAAAGTAACAAAATTTTCTGCCTTGATTGTGAGGCCCTTCGGCTGGATATGAATCTCCAATGACACCTCTGGGAGCAGCGCACTAGATTATGTCAAGCATTAGGAGGAAAAAAATTAGATTCATGATGTCTGTCCAGGCTGAGTCATTTCCTCTCACTTTGCCTGCAGTGAGAAATTGGTGGCTATCATAAATCATAGACCTAAATTCTTATGAGAGAGGAATTAATTTCACTAATGGAAACCTTCTGTGGCAATAACATTCCTCTATACTCTCTCTTCTTGGGGTGGGAGGGTATCTACGATGTCTTTTAAGCAGAGATACTTGACTATATTGTAAGGATCCTACAAAAAAGAATTGGAAAGGAAACTTAAAATGGTAAGGGAGAAAGATCTTGCGTGTGACCAACTTCTAATTTCTGAGGCTGGCCATCAGTCTAGTTGTTGGTATCGTGGCTACAGCTTTGCCATGGATACCAAATCCATGTACGAAATTTCAGAATACTTAAGTCAACAGTAAACATCTAAAACCCCCATCTGGTTAAAGTATGATTTCTCCCACCTAGCTGGAGTTGCCAGCCTGTAAAGCCAGGCTTAGCACATTTTCCTGGCTCCCTCTACAGTCAGTGGAGTCAAGTGGGTATGTCCAGATACCCACTTAACTCAATCCACACTCAATGCCTATTATTTTCAGCTGGAGTGAACCACAGTCCACACTGTGTGCATGAGGAGCCCACAGGCTTTCCTGCGAGTTGACACAACTTCAGGGCATCTGAAGTTTGATGAGGAGAATCCTACTTTAAGTGCCTAAATGGTGCTTTGAAATAGCAGGACTTCTGATCACTTCAAAAAAGCTCAGGGAAATAATTCTGTTCCATGTAGCATCATTGAAATATATAAAAAAGCCATTTCATCTAAATAATTAAACAAACAAACAAACAAATTGTACAAAGCCATTCTTTGCTAGCAGCTTGGTATCTAGAGTGCTGCGTATGAGCCGAATAGAGGCAGCACGGACTGTGGGGGTAAGCTAAAGTACTCATGACTAACCCAATGTCTTTTATGCATTTTCCTCAGTGCAAGTCCCAATGGGGAATTAAGTGGCTGAAATATTTTGTAAACTGGAAGGAATGAGCTACAGAACAGCTACTGCTTTTTTCACAACATGATTTATGAGATATCAGGCCTTATCTTGGAAAATCATGCACTCCTATACAGCTTTCTGATAAAAGTCACACTTTATCAAGATGTCAGTGTCAGTCGTGTGTCCGTGAAACGGGTCTGTTTCTCCTCCCACTGACATCTTGGCAAAATTTTCATAGGCAACAAAATGCTGTAAATTCCTAACTGCAGTGCAAGTACATTTGAATCCAGCTGACTTTAAGCATAGAATATATTAAAAGCCCATGAAATACTTTGAAGAGCTATAGCTGAGCTACTTCTGAAACTACACTAGTGAAAAATATTCTGAGTGAAAAACTTCTCCTATGTGTTATTTTAGATATTTAGCAGTTAAGAAGAGACTGTCAGTCAAAAGACTCCTTTCTTCTGATACAACCGGCAGCCTTGGTAAACAAACATCTTTGACTCTACAGCACAGGTTCAATTTTGCCTCACAGAAAATGGCAAATGGAAAGCTCAGTGGAAGAAGAGTAAAGATAAAGAAGGTTATAAGCAAACTCTTGCAACTGGGATTTCAAAGGCTTTTGTCTCAGTGTTTTGAGCAGGTTTGGGGTCTGGTCTAGCCTCCAGTAATCTTATCCCCCGCTACTTTTCATGAATCAGCAGCCTCGAGCAGGCTTAGCTTTCACGGAACCATGGGTGCTTTTCCCGTAGATCTGAAATGCCCTTGATGAAAGATTTGGGAACAAGTAGTAGGGCTATTTATACTACCTCTTCACATATTCAGAGTCAGAATTCCTATGGTGCTCGATAGAGCTTCACATCTCACCACATCACAGAACATATATGATGGAAAGGCCCATGCTCCCATGTGGCTGATCTCAGTGGAAGCCTGGTCAGATTGCTATTTAACAGCAAAGGGCTCCAAGCTCTTTCAGTCCTGCTACTATGGAAGTGAAAAACATGGACCATTCTAAAGGAATCAAATTTAATGTATTTTAAGGTCATCTTTAAAAAAAAAAACAACCAAACAAACAACAAACCCCACATAAAATAAGAAAAGGGGGATAAATCCTCCTCAAGTAAAGAGTTATTATATCTAGGTCAGAGCTGCTGATTTTGCATAGGCTCTAAGAGAGCTAGTTATGGATCTGCCCAAACCACTCGCACAAATAGCTGTTTGCTTGCATGATACAAACACCCAGTTATTTATGATGTCTCAGTCAATTGCACATGCCAAAGCTGATCAACATAAACAAACTGCAGGGTTAACTCACAAAGGCAATTTGTATAGGTATTTAAAAGACAACAAACTCAGAATTCAGGCTGTGCTTTGTTCAAAACGCACACAATTTACTGCTATGAAGCAGCTGTTGCTTGTACGCAAACATTTATTATGAGAACTCTCTGAACTTAGAATAGTAGAAGACTTGGATATAGTGTTTCCATGCTCTATTACCTTTCAATTATTTTTATAGGAGTTTTATAAGACATTATGCAACATTTTGAAGCAGTTCTTTTGAGCATAATTTAGTGACAAACACACCTGTAAGCTACAGTTACAATGCATCCTTGCTGTTAGCTGTATCATCAACTATCTTCCTTTATGCATCATAAAATTGCCCCCCAAAAAGACATAATTAACATAATCAGGTCTTATCACCATAATTATACTCCTAGCATATTAACTAACATTCCATGCAGCTCTTCATGGATCTAACTTGCAATGATACAAATTCCTCATGTCAATCAATGTGCCTTCCACATATTTTCACAACTAATTATACATTTTTGTTGAGACACCTTTTGTCATTCACTAATCAGCCAACAACACCAAGAAAAAACTCATTTTTCTTCCTGTTTTCACTGCACAACAATCTCCATC